CACAGTAAATGAACCTGAGACCTGTGACCCAATGTAGATCAAGGGATTCACTACTGATCTATGAAGTATTAACCTAAAATGCAGTATAAAAGCTTTTATTCTAAATTAGTAGTTTCATACTAAATAAAAAGATCATAATTAGTTATTAATAATTAATTAATTAGATCAACTTAGTATCGAAAGGAAAGTGTAGAAGTGTTACTTAGCTTAGTTTTCTTGAATGTATTTAAGGCTTTAAATTTGTTTTAATTTTACTCTCCAGACTTCGATACCTTGAATACTTCATTAAATAGTTTGAATTCTTAACTTACTCTTCTCTTTTGTCTTTCTTATTTTATTCTTTATCTAATAAAATCTAATTTTGTCTTTATACACAATCACTTAAAGTCTAAAATTGAATAAAGAGAACTGTCATAATTACATGATATCATGATAGAGGGAAGTACCAATCACAAGTGTGGCAGAAAACCAGAATTATACAACCTTCTTGTATCTTTATATATATTAGGTTGTTGCCTCTTTCAAAGCCTTAACTTAAATTCTCTTATTGAAACATTGACTATTTCAATATCACTTATTGCTTCGCCAAGTCATAGTGTTTAAAGTCTCATACTCCAAATGTATAGTTCCCTGAACCCAATATATAGGTGGATTTAGTGTTAACATTTTTGGTGATAACTGTGAAATAAGAATTCACTAGTCATCTAAATAGAGGATTGAACTTTCTATAAATTGAGAAAAGACTTGTACAGATTAGTGCATGAGTTTTAGCTTAAAAGAAGACACTGGAGTAATAAACCATCTAACGTTATATAAGAGTAACAAAAAAAACTCCTGTGACCTTTGTTACTAGCTTCTGAAAAAATTTTCTCAAACTTTTAACCAATTTATAAATTAGTATTCTCTTACATATTCTGTGGAAGTAATCACCAGAAAAATGTTCGAATACTTTAAAAACTTAGAAGTTGATTATTAGCAACCTTAATCTTCACGTTGCCAAAATACGATTGTGAAATTAATTTTTAGTATTGTATATACTAAACCTTGTAGAGATAATTAAAGTTATCACCAACATTGCCTTACATACCCAGTGCTTTAAAACTGATCCATTTGCTCTTCTTACTTCTAGCTCTAAAAAAACTAACATGACTTCAAATACGGATATCTTGAATTTTCTCAAAGAAGACACCAAAAAATCTATCTTGATATGTATTGAACCTTTTTTAGAAAATGGTTCCCAAGACCTGTTGGCATGGCTAGAAAGGTTTAAAAAAGCTGTGGCCACAAATAATTGGAGTTTTAAAAGAATGTTGCAAGTTCTCCCAGCATTCATGTTGGAAAATGCAGATGAATACAAGATACTTACTATAAGAAAGCCACAATTACAAATTTCAATGAAGCTGACTGGAAAACTCTTACTGATGAATATAAAACATATTTTTGTACAACTCATTGGCAAACTTATTGGCTAAATGAATTGAATAATCTTAAATAGCAGATAGGTAAGTTTATTGATACCTATAATGAAAAATTCACTCGGTTACTCAAATGAGTTAAAATTGGAATGAAGGTAGAGGATAATCAAGCCTTATATTACTTTAAAAAGAGGCTGCGCCTGGAACTCCTACCTATAATAATACTTTATGAACCAAAAAGTGTATAAGACATTATCAATTATTCCCAATTTCATGAACAAGGGGTTGAGTTCTCTGTAGAGGCTGGCCCAAGTCAACCTATAGTAATTAAGAATTATGAAAAGAAAATAAACAACTTACTAAACAAATGCAGCAAATAATGCCCACAATAGCATCAGTATTAGTAGCTCAAACAGAGAAAAAGCCACACAACAACCTAAGAAGCATAAAATAAAAGATGTCACATGCTTCGAGTATGGCAAACTTGGTCATTTCACCAAGAATTGTCTTTTAGAAAAGACTGTAGCCATAGAACCACAATACAAGATCAAAGAGAAACTGAAAAAAGATAGTAAAAAGGACAAATCCATTAATATAAATTTAGCAATTACTGAAGAAAGTAGTGAAAGCGATAATGAAGTCTACAACTCTATAGTACCAATAGGAAGGAGCACAAAGAAAAACAAAAGCAAAGCGAATCAAAGAAAGAACATGCCTTGCTTAATAAAACTCCCAAGATTCAAGTGCAATCAGAACTTAAGCAAGAAGAGGAAATTCCAATAGAAGTAGATAAGCCTAAAAGAATTGTTAAAAATGATTACCATTAGTAGTAGATAAAATTAAACCATACAATATATCTGAAGACTTGTTAGCCACAAGAGCACAAGCTACTTATAGGCAATTACTTAAATATCCGGATCAAAAACATAATCTGGCTAAAGTTTTAAGAAGAAAGAAAAACTCAGAAAATAATGAAGCTAATTTCATTAATTTGGATAATCCATGTAAAACAGTGGCTATAAGATGCCACATATGACTAAAAGAAACTCCGGTTGTAGCCATTCTTGATTCAGGAGCAGCTGTAAGTATAATCACTAGAAGGTTAATGGAAAAATTAAAATTAGAAGTAGATAAATCTTCTAAAACAACAGATATAACAGCAAATAGAAATAGGGTTAAAGCTCTAGGAATTATTAGTAGTATAAAGATAATACTGCAAAATCTTATAATCTCAATAAACCTACAGGTAATAGAGTCTCAGGAGGAGACTTTGTTATTAGGAACAGATTGGTTTGATAAGTCAAAAGCAAAATTAAATTTTGAAAAGAATATATTATATGTTAAATACTTAGATAAACAAGTAACTATTAATGCTACCTATGATATAAACTAAACCCTACCACAAGATCTCAAAAATTCACCAACGAAAATAATTGAATTGATGAACTTGAGGGTGATGAAGAAGAATTAGTCCAAGAAGTCTTTTACTCTGATACTATTGAATCAGAAAAAGATGACCCCTTTTATAACTTATAGGTTAAGGATAACCTAGCAACTTACTTGACTGATACTGTAGAAGAAAAACAAGTTAAAATTGAATTTAACATAAACAAAGAATTAAATACAGAACAGTATAAACAAGCCAAAGGCTTGTTATAAGAAAATTCTTATACCTTTGCAAAAAGATTAGTAAAAGTAAACAAACAGTAGGTTTAGGTCAAACCAACTTAGTTTACTATGAGATAAATACGGGAACACCAGACTGATTAAACAAAGACATTATAGTATAGTTCCTGGATAAACAAGAATTCTAGCTAAAAAAAATGAAAGAGCAAGGGATAATAAAAGAAGTGCAAAGCCTTTGGGCTTTGCCAGTGGTAATTGTACCTAAAAAGGACAATAAAAAAAGGATATGTATTGATTACTATAAGTTGAACATGGTAACCATAAAGGATTTGTATCCTTTGCCTAATATCCAAGAAATTCTTTCAGTTTTTGATGGTGCCAAGTGGTTTTCTAGCCTCAACCTGGCAAGTGAATATTGGCAGATAGCAGTTAGAGAAGAAGATAAGAAGAAAACTGCTTTTATAACAAAATTTGGGACATACCAGTTAATATTATGACCTTTGGATTGTGTAATGCGCTATCCATGTTCCAGAAGTTGATAGATCACGTGTTAGAGCCTTTCATCAACAAGTTTTTGGTAGTGTATCTTGATGATATTACTATATATTCGAAGATGTTTGAGGACCACCTTTTGTATCTTTAGCAAGTTTAGCGAAAGCTAATCTAAAATGTAATTCAGAAAAATGTGTATTTTGCTTAAGACAAATAAAATTCTTAGGTTATGTGATTGGGCAAGAAAGAATTCTGCCTAATGAAGGAAAGGTAGAGAAGATTAAAAACTTCCCAATACCCACCACAATTAGGCAAGTACACGCCTTTATAGAACTGGCATCCTATTATAGAAGGTTTATCCAAGGCTTCTCTAAAATAGCCAAACTATTAAATCAGTTATTGTAGAGAAATGAACACTACAGATGGGATATAGAATAAAATAAGGCATTTAATATACCTTATAACTGCACCGATATTGCAATACTCAGATTTTAATAAGCCATTTTACCTTCACACAGATGCTTCAACTCTAGGTCCGGGAGCTGTTTTATCCCAACTTGATGAAAAAAATAAATAGTATGTTATTGCCTATGCGTGTCGAAGTTTAAATAGGCATGAGAAAAATTACTTCATACCTGAGTTGGAATGTTTAGCTATTATTTGGGCTGTAAACCATTTCTATCAATATTTGGATTCTAAACTATTCTTCCTTATAATGGATCATTTGGTGTTATAGTCAGACCTCTCTAAGTGCATATCATTGGGACTAGCTCTGAGGTATGCATTTAGAGAGGGTTGCATTTAGAGAGCACTAATAGAATTATAGTATATAAGCAACTGTCAATAGAAATTAAGCAAATCTTTATTTAAAAAAATTTAATACCTTAGCTTTTATAGCTCATATCTCGATGAATTTTAAAGCTATCTTAATGGTTTTATATTCAAAAAAAAGCTTATGATTTAAGCTTTCTTTTGAATATTAAACTATCAAAATAGCTTTAAACTTCAGCGAGATATGAGCTGTGAAAGTTAAGGTATTAAATTTTTTTTAAATGTAGATTTGCTTGATTTTTATTGATGGCTGCTTATATACTATATAAGTTACATATTAAAATTATCTTGTATGAGATTATATAATCTTGTTTTGATTGGCTAATAATCACGTGATATGCATTTATGTAGAGATTTATATAGGTGGGCCAGAAAAATAGGATGCATATACAGAATAAAGAATATACATTTATCTATTAAACCCATTAATGTGCCAGATAATTAATATGCATTTAGAGAGGTTATATATTTAGAGGAGATGCATTTAGAGAGGTCTGACTGTATAATGGTTAAGAACTTCCAAACTTAAAGAAAAATGCACTAGATGGATTTTAAGATTGGAACCCTACAATTTTACTATAATCTATTGTGCCGAAAAGAAACATAATAATGTAGATACATTATCAAGATTACATAATGAAAACGAAGAAGAAATACAACTTGTGTATTTTGTAGGTTTAAGCAATGGAATAACACTAGATGATAAAGTTTTTAGTACCTTACCCCAAAAGAAGTTTCAGAAGGTAAGAAAACTTTTAAAACCAAATCCACCGGAATATACACTTTATGGAATATACTCTTATGAACAAGTAAAGTTCACACCTATGGGGATAAGGTACGATGATTAGTATTGTACCTGGTACTATATTGAATATATAAGAGGAAGGTTGGGTAAGAAAACCAAAGGAAAACATTGGGAATATGATTGGAAAGATCCCAATGCACAATACTAGTGTGGTGATAAACTATACTCACTAGAGGATGATTGTGCCAAGTGTAAGTGTGATCTAAGGTTATGGATTATAATTAAAAATTATCCAATCTAGAAAATTGCCAAAAGCTATTAGACAACACCCTATACTAAAAATGAAAAAGAAACCACCTTGAAATCAAGTATAAGTATTAATTACACCATAGATAAATGGCTAGATGAGACCCCAATTTTGCTAAAAAACCTGGTAGATCAGGATAATGGGCCACTTAAGAAAGATGAAGACAATTTCACTAACCAACCATGGTGGTTAGAGCCATTGGAAACTCCAACAAAAAGACATTATGAAGAGTTTAATAATTACAAGAATACTTATCTGTGTAATTCGGTTTGGTGGGAAGTTCCAAATTCATTTGAACAAAATCTCTATTTTCCCCATCCCCAAATGACGTAAAACTTTGCAAGTTAGTTCCTGCTACCACACAACTCATTAATAACTATTTTTTTTTACCTTAAAAAAAAAAAAATTTTATTAGAAAAAATGGAAAATAGCAAATATCAGAATATTAAAGAATTTTTAGAAAAGGCAAGATATCTGTCTCAACTTAATAGCAAGCAGAAAAGCAGCTAAAAACTCAAAGTCAGTTTTATACTCTATACAACCACTTGTTATATAAGAGGAACCAGAGAAAAAAAACCAGAAATCAATTGCTTAGAGTAAGTTGACCCTATATTATACATCATGCATACCCATCTCTTAGAGCGCATATAGGAATCGAAAAAATGTTTGACAAAATCTATGAGAAGTATTATTGACCACAAATGTATAAGCATGTTAGAGAATATATAAGAACATGCAATCAATGCCAGAAATGAGAGAAATATAGAACAAGAGGACCCTTACAACCCATACTGGTGGAGACCCCATTCCACAAAATTAGAATTGACTTTGTTGGACCGTTAGAAGTAATGACAAGTGGCAATCATTACATAATCGTAGCTGTGGATTACATGACAAAATGGCCTGAAGCTAAGGCTGTGCCTAATGCTGATGCACAGCAAACAGCCCACTTTATCTTCAATGAGATTGTTTGTTGCTATGGATACTCTACCTATCTAATTTCAGACAGAGGAGCGCATTTTAATAATGACATTATAAAATTTATGGTGCAGAATTTTGAAATCAAACACTTACTGTCAACTTCTTGCCACCCACAGACCAATGTGTTGGTTGAACACTACAACTATATGCTATGTGAAGCATTAGCAAAATTGATCAAACAAGAGCAAGAATGGAACTCTTTAATACCCTGAGTATTGTACGCATATAGGATATGCAAACAGTCCTCTATGAAGTTCACTCTATTTTACCTTACTTATGGATGAGAAGCAAGGTTTCCTAACTTTAAAGAAGAAAATGAGATTAATGATAATATGCTTGATAGACTGAATACAATCTTGGAAGAAGTACTCTCCAACAGAGAGACCGCAAAGAACAATATAACCAAAGCCCAAAAAAGGTATAAGTTCTATTGGGATAGAAAACTGAAAAATGTTAGAAGAATTTTCCAGAAGAGTGACAAAGTACTATTGTTTGATACTACTCAACACGGTCGACATACTGGAAAATTCTTAACATGATGGCTTGTCCCTTTTGTGTTATATGAACACATCGCACAAGATGTGTATTGGCTACGTACACTTGATAATCAAGTGTTAGATATTCCACAAAATACTCTCTTGCTTAAAATGTATTATGAACAAAAATCATAGCCAATGGACAATATCTATGGAATATTTCAATGGCCTTGCTTAATATGAAAGATTTTTCTGAACATATTAAAGCTAAAGTTCAGCCTACTAGAACAAATATTGTCTAGTTTCATCAGGGATATAAGTAAGAAACCAACAAATGGATAGAAAGTCTAAAAATATTTATAACGCTTGACAAGATAAATCCTATTTGGAATTGTAACATTTATTGGCTTGTCCATAATGCTAATGAAATGTTTATGGTTGGCAATTGTTATCAATTGCCAAAGAAACACTCAACATTCTACTTTTTTTATTCACAAAGCTTATAGATTAGTTTGGGAGAAATTGTCACATGGAAATCTAACTGCAGCAAATGAACCTGAGACCTATAACCCCAATGTGAATCAAGGGATCCACTGATCTACAAAGTATTAACCTAAAACATAGTATAAAAGCTTTTGTTCTAAATTAGTAGTTTCATACTAAATAAAGAGATCAATAATTAGTTATTAATAATTAATTAATTAGATTAACTTAGTATCAAAAGGAAAATGTGGAAGTGTTACTTAGCTTAGTTTTCTTGAATGTATTTAAGACCTTTAAATTCGCTTTAATTTTACTCTTCAGACTTCGATATCTTGAATACTTTATTAGATAGTTCGAATTCTCAACTTACTCTTCTCTTTTGTATTTCTTATTTTATTCTTTATCTAATAAAATCTGATTGTGTCTTCATATATAATCACTTAAAGTCTAAAATTGAATAAAGAGAATTGTCGTTATCATGTGATATTATGATAGAGAGAAGTACCAACCACAAGTGTGGTAGAAAACCAGAATTATACAACCTTCTTGTATCCTCATATATATTAGATTGTTGCCTTTTTCAAAGCCTTAACTTAAATCCTCTTATTAAAAAGTTGACCATTTCAATGTCCCTTATTGCTTTGCCAAGTTATAGTATTTAGAGCCTTCATACTCCAAATGCATAGTTCCCTGAACCAGACAGAGGTGGGTTTAGTGCTAACACTAGTTCACTGGCCTGGTTTATCAGCCTATCATAATCGCTTTCTTTTGCAATCTTCTTCTTCTAGCCTTCTAAATAGAAAAATTCTATCAAAGAATAATGTGAAATTTACAAAATAAAAGGAATACTAAAAAAGAAAGAAAATTTAAACTAAACAAAAACAAAAAAATAAGCAAAAGAAAAAAAGGACAGCTATAACAGCACTATTTTTGCTTATTCAAAGCTATATAAATTATATAATATTGTATAAAATAAAATCTAACCTAACACTATATGTAATAATAGAAGTAGAAAATAAAATAAAAGAAAACATCTAATATTAAGAAATTTTTATATGTGATCTTTCTAACCTCTAATATACTATTATTGTTTATTTGGCAAAGCATAATCCAAATAAGCTCATGGAAGATTCCATTTTTGTAGATACATTCTAATTTGGAAGAAGTAAATATTGCCTAGTGAACTACCTGTGTATAGTAAGCTACGCCTTAGGTTAGGTAGTATCCATTGGTTTGGAAGTAGGTTATAGTCAGAGGGTTTAAATGGGTACCCCCTAGTTGGAGTACAGGTACGGCAGATAGTGTAGAACCTTCGGGCAGACTACTTAAATTAGGCACTCAAAAGGTGCACGTATGGCTATATGTACCCTTACTGTAATTGAAAAATAAAACTATCTAATAAAATGTTCCCTGGCCAAAGAGGTCACCTTAATACCAAAAAAAAAAATATATAGAGGTGTGGCAACTTAATGTAGTGGTCTAGTCGTCACCCTCTCCAAGTAGCAGATCTAGAGTTCAAATTCTACTGGTGACGATATTTAAAAAATGGGTCTGTGTTCGGTTGATGGCTATGTTTATTAGTTAGATCTAGAACTAAATCTGTAACTTCGGTTACACCATCTTGTAATGGGAGCTTCGGCGCAATAAACCCAAGGAATCGGCATAACCAAAAAACCTATTTGGGAAGTTCCGAATCTGAATATAACAGTGATCTTTGATGGTACCACAGGAGGGCTAAATTCGAACTGGGCCCGAGATTGGAGAACCAAGTGACCAGGTCCTATGGTGGAGGACACTAGCCAAACCGCGGGTTGTCGCACCGGAGAAAAAAGGCATATACTCTGAAAATATGAACCAAGGGGAGGGCATTCTTCAGGCACCTAAAGCCTGGGCAGACCAATCCTTCCAGGTTGCCGGCTGGAAGTAAGGGAGGGACTAATAGAGAATCCGGGTAAGGAGATAGTTCCAAGTGTAGGTACTGGGGTTGTTGTGAATCGTTAAGGGCAATGAGTACGTAATGGGAAACTAATTAGGAAGGTTGTGGCTTGAGATACAGATCAGGTTACAGCAGTACTTTAAAGGGTAGCTTGAGATACAAACTCAGTGTCGGCAGCACAACATGTACTAACTAGGAAGATATTATGAAACATGCAGGTGAATGCATGTGTGGGACATGTACCGCTCTGTTGAGCTTACCTTCGAGGATAGTAAAGTGTTTTAAGTTGGCTGTTTATATAGTGGTGTCGCAAAACCTACATACCCTAGTAGTGAGTTACACCCGTGTTAAGATGGGCATCAGGGAAATAGATTAAGATCAGAGGGTTTAAATGGGTACCCCTCTAGTTGGGGTGCAAGTATGGCAGATAGTGTAGAATCTTCGAGCGGACTGCACTCAAAAAGTGCACATGTGGATATATGTACCTTCATCTAAATATATAGTACCTGAACTCGACTTAATAAAAATCGCTGACCAAAAAGGTTTCCTTTAAAAAAGAGTGCTATATATAACAAAAATTGCACAAGAAAATTTTTTTGTTAGAGTCAAAAGGTCAATTAACTAGTCTAAATTTTGAGATAAATGTGATTTTTGCAAAGCGAACATTTGTTTTGATTTCTTTATGTTACACCTGATCCTGATTTTTGATTGGTTAATTGACGTCAGAAAATCATGTGACCGAAAAATCGATCCTACGCCCTGGCGTTGTTCAATTATTATACGATTTTTGTTATGTGAGTTTAATAGCCAATCAGAGTTAGGATCGTCGTCACGTGATTGCCGTCTAACTCCAAACCATGCAATGCCCGTTGACATCACCCAATCAATTTTTCATATTAAGTTATACTACATATTTCTCAAATAAACAAAATAACACATAACACGCTATATATCTTTAATGCGTAGCAGGTTACAGACATTGGCTAATGTAAATCAATTGCTCCCGGGTAACTTATTTATTACTTCGGATATCTATCAGCTCCTTTATCTATATTATTATTATTATTATTATAATATATACTACTTATTTAAAATTAGCATTAACTATACTAAGCTTATTTTTATAATTATATAAAAAACAAAACTCTGAAAGATTGAAGATTTATTATAGTACTATTTGGTAATTTTGTAAAAAATACAATAATTTTTAAACCACTGCAAATAATTATTGATTATTTGTAGAACATATATAGTTAACAAACTTATAACTAACTATTCAATTAATAGAGGTCTCGTGTTTGCACCAGGTATTTTCATAGTAATAATTGAGAAAAGGAAGTTATTTTAGTGTCAGTACACTAAGATAATTAGGTGCATTATCGAAGTACGTGCGTGCGTTGGTGATTGTACTTATGCATTTATAGATTAGTTTTCTATATAAGCCTGTATTCGAAATTAGAATAATAATTTTATTAGCCTATATTTTAAAATACGTAAAATGTGCATACATACACGAAATGTCAGTTAATGCATATTTCCTAAATAAATCAGGTATCGATATAGTGTGTTTCTTAGTATATAAAGCAAAATAAATAAATACTGTATATATATATATCGATATAGTTTGAATTGAACATAATTAAATCTCGTTGTGTAAACAAATAGATTTTCTACATAAATTCATTATAGATAATCTTATTGAGACATATCTACATGTATCATACTTGTGGAAATTGTATTATCTCGTAAATAAATATATTACGTATATACTTAGGCATAATTTTGAAAAAAGGTCGGTATTATATGATTTGATGACGTCATACGGACTAAACATTGAGTCTTTTGAGAAAGTCAATCAGTACATCTAAAACTTCTTGAGGCTTTTCTTCTTGAGGCAAATGACCACAATATTTAAGAACGTGATATTCCAGTTTAGCATTTTCAGGAGCGTCGACTAACATTTCTTCAAAAATCTCTTTATGTATACTTTCATTTGTAAATTTATCGTCATCTCCAACTAAGTATAATATAGGAAATTGGAGGAAAATGTGCTTATTTGGTAATACTTCTAATGGAATGAAGTATTTAAACAACCATGCGATCGCCTCATAAAAGTTTGGCAAGGTAAGTGGAACGCGATAACATGGTCTGACCATAGTTTCAAAATCAGGCACAGCATTGATGTCATGATACAGTTTTGGCATAGGAAGGTATTGATACAATGCGGCTTTAAGAAATAAACGTCCTGGTGCAGTACCTAAAATATGACACGACATTGAAGGTGGGCCTATGCACAATAATCAAATCATGAGCAACATTATAATTACAGAACCACATAAATTTAATAAATTAAACGATTTACCTTGATCTTCAGGTCTCAATGCAGGACCAAGCAAAATTAAAGAATGAACTAAGTGGGGATATTTAATAGCAATATAACAAGATATGGAAGCACCGGCAGAAACACCGATTAATACCACCTTCTTCGCACCATAACCTAATTGTATTAATAATTGAACAGCAAAATCCACAGAAGCCATTTGTGTGTAAGGATTTTTGCCTTCTTCCCATTGAACAGGTCTCTCTGTGAAACCAAAACTCACTCTATCATAGGAAATAACGTGACAACCAGTAGCTTCGGCCAATGGTTGCATATGAAATCTCCAAGTATATTGATTTCCTAGAATATGATGAAGGCAAAGAATCACGGGTTTATGAGGTTCATAAGGAAGTTGTTGTTGATTTTGAAGTAAATTTTTATGGTACTGTGGAATTGCTATCTTATAATAAGCTTGAATGTTATCAACATCTACAAAACGGCCTTCAGGGTCTGATTCCGCAACAGATTGGAGAAGAACTCGTTGTATTGAAGGAAGGGACATTGTGCGTAATTTCTCAAATGATAGTAATTTTTAATAAAAAGTATGAAAAAAATGAATAAAACAAGGTAATCATAAATAATATTAATATTAATAATAAAAAAAAAATAAAAAAAAAGGTGGATATGATTTTATAAATAAAAAATTTTATCCCCTTGTAAATTGAATAATAAATACCACAAGAAATTGTGTAAAAAATGGAATAATTTTCCGTATAACTCTTTGAACCAATAAAACGTGTACTTTAAGCATTTCTTCCCCAATATGGATTGAACTTTCGCCACAGAAGTGAAAGAAAGCAGCATTTTATGTATTGTAAGAAATTTGTCAGCAAGTGTATCCTATATTAAGAAACTGACATAATATCAATTACAGATGTGTGACTTTAAATTCTCGAGTAAAACCCTTATTGTAGAAATGAATTTTCCTATTTCTTCTACAAAATATCTATTAATAGACTTAAATGAATTTGTTTATTATGTTTAAATGTATATAAAATGGAATTAACATTACTATATAGTACGTAGTTAGGCACGTCCGTGCTTAATTTAATATAAATATATATAAATATATATATAATACAGTATATATTTATTTTTATATATTTATTTTTAATTTAAAAAAAAAATTATTTAACAATAATCATTTAACTTATATGGCCGTTTAGCCCAACTGGCTTTAATACTATTCTCGAAAATTTTGGGCCAACGATCTGCCTAAACATACATTTCAATCCATTTCAATCCTTAATTACAATATGCTTACCTATGATATTTTCCCAAATAGGTTAAATTTTTAGCATGTTTCAATCTTTCGATATGTTGTGTTTATCATGTTCGTAAGTCGCATGATCAGCATTGATAGACAAAATAAGCGAACGATATAACATGTAACGTATCATAGTGTAAAATAATATATAGGGTAGTAAACCAAAAAAATATAAAATAAAATTGAAATATAATAAAATGATGAACCCGAAATAAACCCAAAATGTATATAAATCGGACTTTCATGATAAATCTGATCGATGATGTATATACGATATAACGATAAATATGTTACTATCAAGTTTTTAAAGAGCCAAATCCGACAAATAGTAAACAATAAAATGGAAAGCCTGAAGTTTCATCTCTCATTTATAATAGTTCATTAATCAGAAATAACGAATATATTTTAATAATATAAATGCTATTGATGTTTCATACTTCAAAAACTAAGCTTTCACAAAAGCTTTGTTATTGCCTTTTTAACCAACCTGCAAGTAGATCGAGTAATGCGTTTAGATTAAAATCCTGCAGTTTTTTTTTTTTTGCTAAGATATAAATATGTCCGTTGTGTAATATTATTTTGCACGACTGAAATTTACTATGTTGATCTCTAAATCCGGAATAATCAAAAAATTCTAATTGGCTGTTTCTTGACAACGGATAAACAGACTACGGATCTAAAATTAGCCAATCAAATTGGTTAAATAAAATTACACACATATGAGTTGGAACCGGTTTTATTTTTCATGTTAAACCCGATTAAGCCCGGGTTTAACATATGAAAAATAAAACTTTACGATACCTAAAATCAACCAATCTGATTGTTTATATTATCGTATATAACGACAATGACTATAATGATTTGCTAGTTTTTTTAATAAAATGAAATTTAATTTCCGTTCAGATTTGCAGCTAACAATAGTGTAATTTCAAATATTACACGATCTACAACTAACTAGTGTTATCGTTATAGATTGAAGATTTATCCGAGAAAAGTTAGAATAGATCTATTCCTTTATTTTGCATTTCATTTTCGTCGCAATTACCCTCATTATCCTCTTTCTAACAGTAGCGTTACAATAAGTATCATTCTTATTAATTACCAATTCCTGGAGATTTCGTTATCGTCCCAATTATGCCAACACTAACCCCCAAAAAAATGTAATCGATGAACGATAGATACGATTATGCAAATGAAAATTACATAATGTTCTGTGTCCGAATCTTGTTACAAAAATGTCGTAATCACATGTCTTATTGGGGTGCTCGGTGCACTATGTAAATCAAAGTTTGTAAAGTTCTTTGCAAGCAAAGCTATAGCGATAGTGATAGTGTCATTTTCAGAAGATTTCGATTTAGTCTTTTTTTTTTTGCCTTTTAAAAATTTCTGTATATAAATTTAAAAATTATATATATATAAATTAAGGAAATGGCTCTATAGCTTTATTTGTATAGATATATTATTGGCCTTACAAAATTTTTAACTGAAGCTACAGTATTTAACCGTTAGCGTTAGAGCTGTATGATTCACATAGTATTCCCAATATATATATATATATATATACTATGTAAATCAAAACTATATGTGGCATATATATATATCAATATGTCTCATTTAAATAAATATATATATAAAAGAGACTATATAGTTCATTTACTCTTTAAATTCTTAAAAGAATGGCTTCATAGCTTTGTTTGTAGAGATTCAAATCTCACGAAAATTATAAATAAATATTTTGTTAGAATTAGTGTTAGATCAGAAGAGTATACTAAAATTTGTAAAATGTTTTTTATTGAAACGAAAAAGGTAGTTAATAGGAAAATTTTATATTACACCTGTTTTTTTGATGCAGGTATTGGTGATTGGACCCGGTGTCAGCCTACAGTATTGTCTGATCCGGTCAAAAGATAAATGTTATTACAGCCATTATCATAAATTCTAGGATACCTGATAAAATTAGCCGAATCGATTAAGTTATTGATTTCGCGACTATATAAGATATACCGTATTTATCCGACATGTAGACCCCGTGCAATGTACCCTGTAACGATTTTGACAGCCAATTTTTGACTTATACCCGGGTACCTAAGTATGTTATCATCATGCTTCTGTACCCGGGGAAGCATAATAAAACATATTCATATCCATACAATATATCCCCCTACATGTGTACCCGGGTACTAAAACTAACAAGGGAAATACCCCGGGTACTCGTGGCGGATAAATACGGGTATATGTTGTATATCGAATCGAATTTTGTGAACTCCGAATCATCTTGTGTTGGGGCAATATAATAATTTATATATTCACGCCTGGCTCAAAGTTGATTAGCTAGTTAACGTTAACATTTTGGGTTTAGGAGGGAGGCACAGGTAGAACAACAAACCTTTTTTACAAGTATTCTTTCAAAAATCTTTGGTGCGATATGCAACTTTTCTAAATATTTTCGTATCTCTTTCACAGGTAATTTAAAAGTTTGGAAAATATTTAGAAAGGTTGCAAATCACCAAAGGTTTTGAAAAAATACTTGTCAAAAAAATTTATCGTTTTACCTGTGAGAGAAGATTTAAACAAACACATATATGCTCAAGAATATTTTAATTAAATCTCATTGGTTGGCTTTAATTACATGATTAATAAAGTTTTTTCTGTGTTATGATTGGCTTGTTTAATTTTAAAAGAAATAGTTAACCAAGAGAGAAGAGTAACATTAACCAGCTAATTAACTTTAAATAGTCTAATTAGTATAAAAAAGCTAATAGAAAAGAGTTTACAGTATATAAATTTAGGGAGCTACTATTTCCACCATGGTAATTTGCTATTTCCACCATGGTTACGCAAGATTTTCTATTTTTAGACAATAATATAAAAAACTCATAACCCTAAAACTAGTGTTCCGCAAAATGGATTCAAGATTCGGATTCAATCCGAATTTGATCCACGAATCTATCTCGAATTCTATAATTTGCAGATCTTGCGAATCCGAATCCAAACAGAGATTTAATCAAATAATATTCGGATCCATTATTATTACACAAATCTTTTTTTTTTTTGAAGTTTTTTTTTCGAAATGTTATTATTCAAATGCATCAAGCTAATGGTACCAGATATCAATTTCATTGAAATGAATATGCAATATACAATAGCATAATTTCAATAGATTGTAGATGCTAATCTTGTTATGTGTTTAGAATGTACGTAATTAGATCAAGGTCCAAATTAAGCAGTTAATTAAATATGAGAGAAAGCCTGTCATCAACTTTCAATTATGTTTTGTATACAGTTAGCCGTCTATGGAAAATTCATTGGATGGCTAACTGTACATAAAATATAATTGAAAGTCCAATGACAGGTTTTCTCTTGGCGGTACTTATATGCTTTTTCATTGAATAAAGATTTAGAAATAGTAAGCATTCGCAATTTTTTTTCAAAACTTATTTTTTATTTTTTATGAAAACCTTTAGTATAAGGAATAAAGTGGACTTCGAGAATGAGGATCCATAATAAAGCTATTTGGACAACTGCAATTTTTCCAAACCAGAGATAAAATAAAGAAAATTAAAATAAACTATTTTTTTTACTAATAAATTGAATTTCATAACAAGCTTTATCTAAATATTTCTGCTAAGTAAAATTTATTCCAGACACTTTTTGTCTTATCAATTAAGGTGCCCTTAAAAATCTTTGTATTTACTTTGAATAAGATAATACAATTTAATATAACCAAATTTTTGTTAGAATTTTGCACAACAGAGAGTTTGCGCTTCAGATAGGTTAACTGTATTTCAATATAATTTAAAGTAACCTAGTACTTTTTGTGCAACTGCAAAAAAAGATCTCTAGATTTGAATCAGATCAAATCTGAATCTGTATACAGTAATACAGATTCGAATCTTTGCTTGGATTCAATTCGAACTTCAGATCAAATTTGAATCTTTAGAAATATTTGCTAGATTCAATCCGTGTGGAACACTACCTAAAACTAATAAGTAAACATTTTTTCCAGTCTTAAGTAAACTTGTAGAGGAGACTTTTCTGGTTCTAATGGTGGTTAGATCATCAAAATCGGCTTAGTGGATCCTAAGATATTTGGGGTTAAAGGTGCGAACATAAAGATCTACAAATTTACTATTACATAAAGTATTATAAAGTATTATACTATATTCATGCCTTTAACCCCAAATATCTTGGGATCCACCAGGCCAATTTTAATAATCTAACTACTATTAGAACTA